TAAATCATCACGGGTAGAGCAAATGAAATAAGGATGGGGAGAAGGAAGGAGGGGGAGAAGAAGAGGAGGAATGGGCAGGAATAAACAACCTAAGCTAATGTAAATAATGCCACGCATGCTTGTTGGTGAAAGGCTATATTTCAATATTGAGTATAAAAAAGGCTACAAAGGGGAATTAGAACTCTCTCCAACCGTGCTATGACTCATAAATCACTCTAGTGTAGCAGCTGACCTATTTCGAAGACACAGACAAACTTGTTGTCCATTATTTATTGGGTTGAATATTTCTTAGTCAGCTTGGTTTCATTTGTCATTAGCTGTGTGTGTTTGTGATTTACATTTTGTTGTCTGTCCCTCACTATTAATTTAAAGCCCTTTTATACCTGACTCTAAATTGGAGCTATAAACGATCGATACAGTTTTATCCGGTGGACTGAACATTAAACAGCCTATTTAACAGTTTGCACTCACACTTATTAAGGAATCAATAACAAAATGGAAAGATCTGGATAAAGTCACTCTTTCAACTTTGTCACTGGGTGCTTCCTAATTAGCCTTCCAAAAAACATTGCTCAGCACTTTACACTTTGTTTATTGTTCATCATAGTTGTTTGCCAAAAACCTTTACTGAGAGCACTTTGTTGTGTGGAATTTGCATCCAAATAATGGCTTATAAGGGATGCACTGCTGAATTAAAAAGGACAGTGAATTTACCTCCGGCTAGCTTGCCTCAGAGCATCAGAGAAAATTGACTTTCTCTCCGTCTCTCATCTTTCACACACAAATCCAGCGTATGCCAGGAAATATTAAATATCTACTCAGCTTCAATTTGACAGTTCCTTAGAAAACTTTGATTTGAAGTTGCGTCATTGTGGGCAGCATAGTGGCACAGTGGTTAGTGTGTGGAGTTTGCATCTTCTCCCCTTATTTGCGTGGGTTCTCCCTTTGTACTCCTGCTTCCTCTCACAGTCCAAAGACATACCGTTAGTGATCAACAGTGTTGGGTAAGTTACTTTAAATTAGTAACTTAGTTACATTACTAGTTACTTCTATCAAAAGTAACTCAGTTACTTCAAGTTACTCGTTACTTTCAGAGTAACTAGTTACTAGGGAAAGTAACTTTGGTTTTACTCAGAATTCTCTTGTTAATGTGTTGCTTCCGTAACTGGATACCCAGCAAGATTGCCAGTCTTCTAGCTTGCTTACTTGCCACAAGTGCACTGTGCCACCTACCAATAGAAAGGAAAAAATAATGTGCACATTTCCACGAGAGAAATCCCACGCCTGGACCGTCATTGACTGCTGCCATGATTCTAGCCTAGCCTGCTTTTTACATCCAACACAAAAACTGCAGTCGTGGTGCTTTCGATTGTACTCAGAACTCGGAAATTCTGCCTTCTGAATAGGAAGATGTAGGTAACACCAGACTGCAGATGAGCTGCATACAGGGCTGGACTGGGACAAAAAATCGTCCCGGGCATTTTGACTAGAGACCGGCCCACCATTATAGGAAAAATCATAAAGCCTTTGAATGAAAACAAACACTGTTGTGACAGTGATGTACACTGTTTGATGGTATATATGTATCAATCTATCAATCATTTGTTGTAAGACTCAGATAATTATTTTTTAAAAGCTAGACATTTTAAATGAGAATAAGAAAGTATTTCTTTGTGTGCCCCTCTCCCTTTTAATGCCCTACATGGACCCCTGGCAGCAGCTTTGCTTGTTTTAATCAATTTTAAATCATGCTTTTTATTTGTTTTTGTTTCTAATGTCTCTGTAAAGCACTTTGAATCACCTTGTTGTTGAATTGTGCTATACAAATAAATTTGCCTTGCCTTGCCTGGCAACACTTTGCTAGACCCGCCCCTGCACAGTTACCAGCTGTCAGCTAAGTAAAAAAAGGATCCTAGTGTTATTTGTCTCTCAGAAACAGTTCATAACTTCCCTTCAACTCATTCATGTCACCTAAAAGGTGACATCATGACCAGCAGCTTTACAGCTGTGGCTCCAGCAAACATCAGCTGATACTAGAAATTAATATTAAATAAATTCTAACAACAGCTGATCAAGCTTAAACGTGCTGCTGTTGTTTAGCGCGACATCCGCTGGTTTCCTCTTTCTGGCGCAAAGCGGGCGATAAATAAACAAGAGAGAAAAGCCAATAAGCTGATCATTGATCAGTTTCATGATTGAAGTAGAAACAGGAGAGGGAGGGGAGAGAATGAGAGAAGAAGAGGCAGCTGCAGCAAAGACACAGAATAACTCCAGCTTTGTGTCTTTTTCATTGTAGCTGAAGTCCGGGACAAACTGTTCCTTTTCACCTCAATACGAAACCTGTAATATTTTCTCTGAATACGAGACGATTCTGTTTTTTACGGGACAGTTGGCAACTCTAATAATTAACCTTATGAACAAAATAAAGTTCAACACCCACCCAGCTGTATAGAAACTCCGTCATGCTAGCTAGCACGCAGTACGAAAAAGTCAGCATAACGAAAATAAACTCCACCTAAACTTGGTTCATATCTGACTCAGATAGACTGCAGGTCATAACTTCTTACCTGAAGTTCAGTTCACACTCGGACCGGCGGCTGCTTCGGGTCTCTCCTCCCTTTTCCTTCATCCACCTGCTGGCCTCCACCACTTGCTAATGTTACTGAATCTGTGGAAGCTCCGCGATAGCCACCACACGAAGTAACGAGTAACGACCCTATCTAAATCCCAGTAACGAGTAACGCGTTCCTGATTTTGGCATAATAACTAGTTACCGTGCTCGTTACCACAATAATAACGTAGTTACTGTAACGCGTTACTTAATAACGCGTTAGTCCCAACACTGGTGATCAATCCAGAGAATGGATTAATTTAACATTGTTAATATGCCTCTAAACTAGTTCTAGAAAATATCAACATTAAAATGATGCAAATGAATATGATAATGGAAAAATAAGAAATCATATCCCATGCACATCAACCCTTGCCAAAGTCAGTCCAAGGTTTGCACACCTGGATTTCAATAAGGAGATATCATTTGGAAGAACTGAGCAATAATTATTTTGATTGAGAAATTAAACTATTTAGCTTTTAGACTCCCACTGACTCTTCAGGGGAGAATGGAATCCCTACAGTGATAGGATTTCTCCCCGAGTCTAGCAGCTGGAGGTGGTGACAATCCAACACTAAGGCTTGGCTTGAGCTCAGGGTGACTCAGGTGAGGTGGAGATAGGGGAGGAAGTTTTTTGTTAAATGAATGAGAGTGTGAAAGGGGAAAATAACTCAAGAACATGGAGATTTAAAGTACGCAGAATGGAAGCTGATTGGCTCAAAGAAGGTGGGCAAGAAAATCGTTGGACTAGTGATGTAAAGGAAAAAACTAGCAGCTGAACTTATACGTTTGCAAGATCTTTATTTGGTCAGTTTAAACGATTATTAGTGGCAGATCCTCTCAAACTTTCCCAGACTGAATGGTGTCCCTAGCTTGCCATTTTCAAGTATATTGACAGATGGATTGTGGAGCTTAGTCTGAGCTTCATCGTTGAGTCCATCAAACATGGTAAAGTCTTGATTATACTCTGCTGGGGACACAATTATAGACAGTAAACACTATAGCTGATGAGTGTTCTTTGTTATACTCCTTTAAAATTTGCTTGAAGTCCATCACCTGCTTGCACAGTTGGTGTATTGTAATGTAAAGTCCCACCAAATGACTCTGCATCGTCAAAAAACATGGCAGGCATACAGATGTCCCCACAGTCTGATGCCAGAATTTACATTTCCAAAGGGACCCTAGTGGACTTGTTGAAGGGAAGGAATGAAGGCTTGAGAGACTTGTCCTAAACTCCCTCCTGTATTTGGCCGCATTCATCATTCCTTAAGCCTTGACTAGTGTTTCTGTCCATATGGATGAGAAGCAGTGCCACCATACTTCACTGCAGGAATGCTATTAACCAGCCAATGATTAGTTTGCAGCTCAATGTGTTCTCCTCCCTGTGTGTCAAATGGGGCTCTTTTGTCAAAAGCCACTGGTGTTCAAGATGTATCCAAGGTTTCCTTAAGTAATAGTATCTGGTTGTGGCAATATTAGATGCTAACTCAAGAGTGCTGTTAGAAAAGATCATTACGTTGTAGAACACCTTTCTGACCGAGGACCTTCAGGTTACTTAGCCAGCTCCAGGAGGGGTGCTTGTGTTTCTGTACTCCTTTCATTTCTTCCATTTCTGAATACTTTAGAAACGGTTTTATACGATTGCCCTGACCTATTTTTCCAAAAGAGTTCCCTGGATTTCATCAGTTGGTTTCTTTTCTGACATACAGTTGGAACTGAGGTACCTTATTAAATAATGTTTTAGGCACATGTCATGGATAATAATGTGATCACATGTGAAAGTGCAACAAAAAAACTGTCTGAATGAGATTATTAGACATGTTTTAGACTGAGGGCTATTTAAATGCCTATTACAGTTTTTCTCAGTTGCTTTGGTGCATTTCTCACAACAGAATTGATCTCTGCACCACTACTAAGGCTCTTCTCAAAACAATTAGTGCAAACTGCAAAACATGGTGGATAACTTGCAAAAGTGAGTCACTTCAGCAAAAAGAAATGTCAGTTGTTCAAAATAAGTAGTCAATGCTTCAAAAGCAAGTCCCTTAATCAAAACAGATAATATATTCATCAAAAGCAAGTACTTATATCAATCAAAGTGTCAGGGCTGTCACAATTACAAGTCATTACACCAGCACCTTTGGTCACAAAATCAAATGGTTTGAACATGTTCTCATTGTGACGGATTTCTTTGTAGGTGCTTCCCAATGACATGTCAAGTCTGGACAGCATGCATGGCATGTTGAAAACCATAAATTGTAAAGGAAACTCAAGACACTTCATATGGACTCTTGATAATATTTAATTGAAACTGTTCACAGCATTGTATCTACTCTGGTCGAAAGAATCCACGCTTCGTACTGATGTCCACAATTCTTTTATTCCTCTCAAAATCATGGAGCACCGCGAAAACTAGAAACAAGTAAAATAATATCAATAGCACATATGATATTCATCTCAGCCACTTATTTCCTTTCACAAAGTGCACAAGTGTTAAACAAATAACAGCATAATGATTTTTACCGTGTACGCCTTGTAAAACCAGCAGTAGAAAAGTTGTACATTCCGAAAAGTCCGCCGTGTTACCGTTCTGTCTTGTCTCTCCCGCGCACAACTTCTGGTTCCCGCAACTCACAGGAAGTGACTACTTCACAATAATATTTTAACAGAAACATTTCTTATAAGAAGGATATATCACTGGATTCATAGATTATCTTTCCTACTGCAAATGTACACAAGCATGAGAAGCAAATAAAGAAAACAAATAGAAAACAATAACGATCTCAGATTCACTTTGGTGTTGTCATGGCAACCCACACAAACATTTCAGCGTCAGCTACAAGCATTGTGCAACTGGGGAAGTACAGTAAATCAAACATTTTACAGCAAACATAAACTCACTTAGACAGTAAACCTTACTGCAGTAGTTATGAAACAAAAAAACCCCTGAAAAACAGACACTGCTGCATATCAATCATTGATATCTAGACGCTCCCGTTTGTCTGCCCACAAATTTGCATCAACATCACAGCGAATGTCAGCTCTATCGATGCATCGGGGAAAGTATCTTCTGGAGTGTCGAATCCACCCTCTGCAGGACTCTGCTGTGATGTCATCACAAGGTGCATCCATAGCTGCTAGCAGGGTCATTTGGGTATGTGGATGCCTGTCATATACCTTCCACCTCCAGGTAGAGAAAAACTCCTCAATTGGATTTAGGAATGGACTGTAAGGAGGAAGAAACTCCATAAGCATCCTGTCGTGTGCTGCAAACCACTGCCTGACTGCAGCAGAGTGATGGAAGCTAACATTATCCCAAACCACTACATACATTGTCCGATTGTCACCAGGATCATCCCTTTCATTTTGTGGGATTAGGTCCCTATAAAGAGCGTCCAGAAAAGCCAACAGGTGTTGTGTATTGTATGCACCAATACGAGGAATATGGGTGTGAACGCCATTTTCTGAGATTGCTGCACACATTGTAATATTTCCTCCTCGTTGGCCTGGGACATCAATGGTGGCTCTTTCTCCAATGTGATTTCGTCCACGCCGTCTGCCTTTTGCGAGATTGAATCCCGCTTCGTCAAGATATACAAACGTGTGCAGGGGTTCCCTGGCCTCCAATTCCAGGATACGCTATACAAAGGATGAGAATACAGAAGTCTGTAATGGTGCATTTGACACAACAGATTGTACAGTTTGAATTGTAAATAGGATTACAGTAACATGCATAAATGTAAGTGCAGTACATGGCCTGAACTTTTACAGTAAACAGAGGTACATATGCAAACATGTTTTACCTGTACATACTGGTGACGGAGCTCCTTCACTCGATCACTGTTCCGTTCAAATGGTACTTTGTACAATTGCTTCATGGACACTTCATTCCGTCTGAGGACTCTGTCTATGGTGGAAGTTGATATTGACTGAATATTTCCGAAGATGGTGTCATCTTCTACGACAGTTCTTTGTATTTTTCTCAGTCTCAAAGCGTTGTTTGCAGCCACCATTGCACAAATTCTTTCCTCTTGCTGCGGAGTCAAAAGTGGACCTCTTCCACCTCTTCTAGGTTGTCTGGCAGTCCTTTTTGAGATGCAAATGAAAAAACACAAACATAAATAAGCGCAAACATGCTTACAGTAATTGTTACAGGACTATCCTTCAAAACTCCTTTCTTTACAGCATTACTGTATTGTACCACAGCACACTATGCCACACCTGGGCCAAGTCTGCGCTTCAGTTACAGTACGTCTATATGTAAAGATCTATAAGGTCATGTCCTAATGCAAGTCTCCTGTATGACTATGAAAGTGCAGAGCAAATTAGTTTGTGCTGAATAACTACATTACAGTATGCTCACCTGTTTTCCCAACGAAATGTCTCAATAATAGAACTTACAGTAGTTCTCCCAACATTTGGCTGCACCCTTCGACCAGCCTCGGCCATTGTGAGGCCATGGTTTATCACATGATCCACAAGTGTTGCCCTGATTTCGTCAGGAACGTGTCTATGTGGTTGGCCTCTTCTTACCTGGTTTTGTCCTCGTCCTCCACTGATCCTCACCCCCTGCTATCAGGATAAACATGCTCCATCATATGATAAAGATGATCACACAGAACAATTTTATACTGAGAGACAAGTTGTTCCAAAATATGCTGGAAAAATAACCCTGCAGCAAAACAGAGTAACAAGTCCCCTCACTGTATCAAGGGTTGTGATTATACCTTTGGTTTGTCAGCTCTCTGTAAGTTTCTTGTCTTTTTTGTGTTCACACATTGCAAAAAACTTAGAAAATGACATTTCCCTCTTCAATAATATGGTGGTCAGAGGAGACTGAATGGCATTTTGACAGCATAGACTAAAGTTTCACCATAGTGAACACAGACAAGATTGACTGACATCTCAGTGTTATTTTCTTTTGTGTGTGTTGAGTCCGAGGCTGTCTACCTTGGGGAATAAGTGACTTTGTGTCCTGTTGCTGCATTTCTGACATGGGTGATGAAGAAAGCTGGTGGGAGTTCAGCCATTTCCTGTCTTTACCAGTAGGCCAGGCATGGATGCTATAGGTTTGTGGTGCATTTAGAAGAATAAGCAGTGAATTAGAGAGTAAAGGGACAAAGAGAGGTGCTAGGATGTGTGTGTGCGTGTGTGTGTGTCTTTGTATGGGGCCTGGTAAGGGAATATATTACAGTACAGTGAGTACAGTTAACGTAAAGGATTTAATAGCAAGGAAAAGAATATGCTGTTGCAATGGGACTTATCAGTCGATGCTCATGGAGAGCACACACACATACAGAAACCAAAATGTATATATGTCCATACGCATGGACTCAATGGACTACACACAACTGTCCAAACACATGCACTTAAAGTATATTACCTCTGTAACAATAGGGACTGTGATGTTTAACTGAGAAGGGCTACTAAAAAGTGTTTTCTACTTTATAGATGAGTCCCAGAGTCCTTAAAAGCAGCTCAGGTACACATTATGAATCACATCAGAAAAAAGCAATCTCTGACTTTTTGCTGAATGTGAAATTTAGATTATGGATGCATAGAAAATCTGGGAGCACAGACAAATAAATAACTTAATAAATAGCTTGCAGCATTTCAATGAAAAATTTAGAAGACTTCCAGCAGATTGAAATAGTGAGTTTAGCATATGCAAGATGCACAATACTAAATTCTCAGTTTCAGACAGAATTTTTACTCTTTACTCACGGATCTATATGCGGTCAAAGACAATGGCTATATGACTGATATATATGTGACCATGATGGGTCCACCTTAAAAGACAAATGTTCATGTCTTTCTCCAAGCAACTGTGGTTTGCAAATATTTGGTATCTAATTTATGAATGGAGAATCCCATCATAAGTCCCATAATGTTGCTTTCAGTATGAGTTAGTCTGCACAGATGAGCATAACACGTTCACAATGCATCTCTTTAAAGTAGGAAACTTGAGACAGCTGCTTCCTAAGTGGTTGCGTTACAGATATATTCCTGTATAAAAACCATATGCTATTTTCCATAATAAAAAGCTGTCCTGCAACAACTGCTTCATTGTTTGTGCGAAGAAATTCTGATCTTCCCATCTATGATTTTTCTGGCTGGCTAATATGAATTTCTGTTTATGTGAATTGTATGTAAATTGCAACAAATTCCACTGATTTATTGGTGTCAACATTCATATTATTACACAAATATTAACTTCCAGATGGAACCCACTCAATTACAGCCTGATAGCATAATTGCTGTCTTTTTGCCATTTTATCACTTTAACACACTAAGTAACTTCACAGCTTCAAAACAACCATTAAAAAGGAATGAGATTACAAATTCTTTGCGCATTTTCACATTAATTTTATTCATGAGATGGTCTCCAACTACTGTTTTTCCTAGTGTGACTGTAGCATTAATAGCACTTATTAGCAGTAGGGTATATTCTGATTACAGGTTGCACCTCAAGTCAGTATTGGGCAGTTTTTAAAGCAGGTAAGTCCAAGCTAAATAAAAACAAGATTGAGACAAGTCGCAAATAATGTACAGTATGAAGAAAGTGTTGTTGCAAAGACTGAACCTCTGTAGCCAATAACTGTCAAACAAATAGTCAGTGTAGAGAAGCTCCCACATATGAGGTAAGTTCAACACAATTGTGGAAAAAATATTTTGTAATCTCTTTACAATGATTTTATTTCGTGACACAAAGATTAACACCATAAGATTACAGAGAAAAACAATCAAGGATAGAGCATTATATCTGAATATTTTTAATTTAAACTGAAATAAATTTTATGGCCTAGAGATATGACATTGAAGATTTCACAAGATTCAGTATCAAGAAGACCAACTCAAGGCGTAGACTTATGAAATATATCACTAAATACCAACTATCTAAAGCGTTGCCTATAACAAGAAGACACGTACACAAGGTTATTACTCACATCAATATTGATGTGAATACTGTGGTTGAACTCCCAAAGCAATAATGTAGACAAATGTGGGGAAAAAAGAAAAAGGGAAAAAAAGATGGATGAAGTGTTTCAATATCTGCGAGACATTTTTGAACAATAGTGGTCAAGCTACAATCATTCACAAAGGACATCAATGAAATTAGACCCTTCTGGCTACAGTAAAATACACACATAATGTTAAGGTTAAACAACACTGTGGAACATCTTTTACAAACATTCAGTATGTGTATTCAATCACTTGGCATTGGAAGGATTAAATAAAGGAGGCAAAATCATTATGTGCCGGCTTCAGAACTGCAGCCAGGATGAGGTTTGACACAAGATGCAGATATCATGTTTATCTGTCACTGGGGTTGAACCTTATTGCCTATTCCTCACTCGCTCGAACATATTATCAAAACTGAATCATCCCAGCTCTTTATAGATTGTTCTTGTTCTACCTTGAGACCAGTACGTCTTTGCAGTTTGATACCATCGCACTCAATATTTCATGACTTCATGAGTTACAGGGATAAATTTCTCTCAAAGTCCCAACAGTGTGCTATATCTTCACAATATCTCCTCCCAGATGATTTTTGGCAACAAAGCAACCTAAAGCTTTTAGCACTGCAGCCACATGTTACTGCAGTGCAGAGGCTTGTAAGTCAAAAGCTAAGCTGAATGTTGTAAATTCATTTCTGGTTATGTGGGTCAAGGTAAGGTCATTTCAGATATTTATATGTTATTTCACACAGGCCTGGATGTCGTTAGAGACTCTGTGTGTGTGTGTGTGTGTGTGTGTGTGTGTGTGTGTGTGTCCAATGACCCACTTCCCTGCAGGGATGGCACGGGTCATTTGTTCTGACCTTTCCTGTATGCACAAGCAAACAAACAGCTACAGACTGATGACATGGCAAACAGCCTCATATTCACCTGTGCACAATAAAATACCTCATTCCAATCACAGCACTGTCTCCTCCAGCGGGAAACCGCGACAGAATATCTTCAGTCTGTTGAGTTTATGAGTGAAAATGAGTCCCAAAATTCAGTAAAAACAGTATGTACTGAACACTTGCCTACAATGTACAACTTCCAGAATAGTCCAACAGAAGAGTGAGAGAAAAGAACAGCAGAGATTGAAAAGTTGTTTTTGTTTCAGTGTTATATGGCTGATGTATTTAAAATGAATCAGTTGTATAAGTTCACTCATCCGCTTAAGCTTTTCAGGAGCTTATCCCTAAGGCAAGAGGCAGGATGCACCCTGGACAGGTCGCCAGTCTGTCGTAGGGCGAACACAGCGAGACGGACAACCATTCACACATGGGACATCAATTAACATAACCCCACATGTCTTTGAACTGTGGGAGGAAGCTGAAGTACCCAGGGAGAAAATATTTGTTTGATTGTTTTGGGGCCCCTCTGATGGATCATATGATATATAATAATAAATATTTACTCAAAATTTTGAAAAACAAGGTAAGTTTTGTTCAACACAAGTCAGCTAGAGGGACCCCAAGCACAGTCAAAGATTGATAAATTGCAAGTGATAAACATTCAAATCCCGGGTTTTGTGACCCACCACCATGCTGGCTATTGGTAGGTTTGCTTGATTAAATCGACAACTAGTTTCATTAACAAAGACTCAAAAGCTGTGATTGCACTGCTATAAACCCTGCCTTCACATAAAGTCAAGGTACAGCACTGCTGAACATTATATGCTTCATAAAATATTAATATCTATTATAAAAGGTACGGTACTGGATGTTATTAAATAATGTGTTTTCATGTTTGTATCTACCAGTAAATTTCTTTCCTAGGGGTATAGCTCTGTATATGTGTGTGTGTGAGAGCGAGATTGTTCATGAAATGTAAAGTTTCAAACACCAAGTATATAAAAGGAATCCCTCTTGACAGCTAAATTTCTTTTCCCTGATTAGCTAAATAAGCCTGAAGGAAAAGATGTTTAAGCAGCTATATTTGGTTGAATTAGAGGAGAGCCTCCTTGGAGAGAAACATTTGTACCTGAAAGTTTAATGTATTCTTTATTTGGAAATAACAAGCTTACAAAGAAAGGCCCATTATACAACTAGCAGAATATACTCGGGCAGTGTAAACAACACAACCTTGGCTGTTATTGATAATGATGCACTGCAGCAACCAGGTGCCATGAACTATGTGACTCTCTCCTTTCTTAGACTACATCACCTGCATACATGTGAGCTTATGCATGAGTGTGTAACGTGATGAAGCAAGAAACCAGAAAGGAAACCAACATATAAACATGGGGGAATGACTGCATATAAAGCAGGGTGGGTGATATAAACTAGCCAACCAAGTGGAAACCTGATGTGAGCAAGCTCAGAAAACATTCAAGGAAGTCTTACACCCAGAAGGCAATGTAGATTAGACGAATCACAACATTTGGAGAAAGCATTAGTCATGTCCCAAAGTGCCCTGCTCGGGAGTGTGGTGTTTTGGTGTGGAGAGTCAGGTATCATGACTGAAATGATAAGTCAGAGATGAATAAGTGTTTGGCATGTGCACCTGGATCTTTCAACCAGGATTCTGCGGGAAGATGAAAGGACGATTGCAGACACCGAGACCAAATGGAGACCATGAGAGTCCAGAAACTGGCCTTGACCATTTAGCATCAGAGCCAAGATTTCTGCTA